GCAGTACACTGTAAACAATCTACACACGGCAATACACTGTAAGCAATCTACACACGTTAATACACTGTAAACAATCTACATATGGCAGTATCATGTAAACAAGCTTCATACGGCAGTACACTGTAAACAATATACATACGACAGAACACTGTAAACAATCTACATACGGTAGTACACTGTAAACAATCTACACACGTCAATACACTGTAAACAATCTGTATATGGCAGTACACTGTAAACAATCTACATACGGCAGTACACTGTAAAAAAATCTACATTCGCAGAACATTGTAAAAAACTTTACATACTTCAGTAAACTGTAAAAATCTACATACATCACTGTAAAAATAATTGTATTCATTACTTTTGTCATTAAAAGCGAGCATTTAAGAAGATAAAAAATTGTCTGATAAACACAAGTAATATTTTATTTTGTTTTTTTTGTGCATTTTTAATACTTTTTTCAAACCATTGTTTCTGGAATAAGGATCACTACACCGCTTTCTGTAAATAATCGCCTTTTTTTAAAAAAAGCATAATACAACTGTATGCAAAATGAAAGATGCCCAATACCTAAATATTGAAAAGAACATATCCTGGAAAGAGGAACCTATTAGATTATAAAAGCTGGCGATAAATCACGAACTAAATTTGTGTCTCAAGATTTTGTTTATTCGTTTCTTTTTATTTTGTTTTTGTTTTCTTATCATATTTAGACCTTCTTTAAGTTTAAATTGCAAAATAGCTTTTTCGAATGGGGAAGTAAGAAACCTTAGATTTAAAAATAATCTTCTACTTTTTGTACATTTTTTAAGATGACTTTTCAAAAATTAGTTGTTTCTGACAGTTATCTAAAAAATCTTCCAATATTCCGTAAATAGTTAAAAGTCAGCTAGATAATATGTTTATTAGAAAAGTCTAAATACGAGACTAGATTTAACATTATTGGTAACATTATGAATATATTGAATGTATCCAATAAATAATGTAAACAAACTGGGTTTCCAATATATTTACATAATAAATAATAAATATACAACTATGCAGATGAAAGATGATGGATGAAATATATATATTGCAGAATTTTTCATCCTTTATTCGAAGAAAAAGTAATTCTCCTAGTATATGAGCGCAAATATTAAATAAAGAAAATAAAAAGTTTGTTTGGTTTTAATTTTTTAGAATTGTCAACATTGAGGCGACTTTATTGTGTAGCAACACCTTGATATTTATTTTTACCTCAAAAACTAACTTACACTTTTGTATTACCTTTAAACACGAACAATGTACATTTTAAACTATACAGTACTTTTTTCTGCTAAAGTTTTAAAAAATTAATTGGCAAAATTCTCATCGATTTTTGCGTTAAAGCTTGCAACCTATGGATCACTGTGAGGCTTCTTTATAGTTTATCTAAATTTGATCAAATCAAAATTCAAGATATCTGCAAAAATGTAAAGAATTTACACTCATTTTTTTAAAATCTTATTATCCATCTAAAAGTTCTAAAGCTCATCACAAACTCTGATTTTCTAATCCTTATTGCATAGTTTGAAATATCTAAGATTTACGACATCATGTTGCTAAAATTTAAGGATAAACAAATTGGATTTAGTGGCAAGTATGAAGTTGTAAGCATGAGATATTACAAATAAGCAATCACAATTTACTTAGCAGTTTGGATCCGCCTAACCAGGGTTGGTTGTTTTGAGTGGTTGGCCCGAAGTAAATTAACGATACTGAATATAATTGGTTACACATATCAAGATATGTTTTGGATAGGTAAGGAGTTGATTGGAATGAAGGAGATTGTCAGGTGATCTGTGGCAGGGTGAGATCAGAGGGATTTTTATGTAGAGATAAATTAAAATACAGGGTGTTAATGATGGTATATACAGAAACAGAAATAAGCTAATAAAGTTTTAGTTATTTCAGTTTTTTATATAAAATTTATTTACACGATATACAGCTAGGTTTTTCGCATTTAAACCTCTCATAATTCACAAGATAAATATTGATTACTCTTTGTTTAAAATAAATTCCTCTATCTTTTGTTATAAAATTTCTGATTTTAAGCGGCCATCTTTGACTTTATTCTTTAGGACTTTTATTTGTATTGAACCCTCGAGTTCCATGCAAAGATGGCAATGCCTGATTCACAAAGTTACCCTTAACAGCCTTGTCTGATAAAGTACGAAGAGGATATCCATGTTTTTTTTAAAAACTTTTTATTTTTATATTTGCGGATTCTGTGCGAAAATAACTTTTCTTGTTTATAAGAAACAATGGAGAAATTATCAGAATTAAACTCTTAGAGAGGCAGAAAAACGACGATATCTTCCACATATTTGATCAGATTAGGGTTTCAAGGATTTTGTTTTGGATCTGCTATTGTCATCTTTGCATGAAGGGTCACTTCAAATTACGCATTCAGTCCCTTTAATCTTACACATTGATTTAGGTTCCTGAATGGAGTAGGACTGGGTCTTGTTCTAGCCACAGTATCAGTTTATATTGTGGAGATAGCAACTACTGATATGAGAGGAATTCTGGGGTGTTTTGTTCAGTTTCAGGTTAAAAAATAACTTTTTTTATTTAACTTCTTAAAACTTAATGTGCAGCCTTATCATTCACCTCCTATAGGCTCTTTCAGAAATTGTACTATAGCCGCGCTATGAATCTTTTTACAATTTACAATTTTTACAATTTACATGGAATGTAGATGAATCTCTGTAAATTTGTATTATTCCCTTGAATGGACACGCTATTATCCATTGTTTTCAACTATCCTTCTCCCTTTGTGATTTAAGATCCATATCATCTCCTTTCTAAGGGACTCATCGTATGGATTTGTTTTCAACTTTTGTTATCCCCCTCCCTCGCCTCACTATCAGACAATTTTATTATCCCCCTCCCTCGCCTCACTATCAGACAATTTTATTATCCCCTAAATGGATCCAAAGTGTGATATGTCTAATTATCTCACTGTGGAACCGTATTTTCCCCCCTCAGAGGGCTCACTGTGCAACTGCATTATTTTCTTCCCTCCTATTGTCCTGAACCGTGACAACTTTATTTTTATTTTATTCTTTTTTTTCTATTTCATAAACTGTGAATAATTCTGTAGAATAAATAGCTTCCTTGTTCTTTACAAACAAAGTTTTTGTATTATTCTCTCTTGAAAATATAAGGTTATTGAAGGGTTAGGCAGAAAATCTGGATAATCTGTAAATTGCAAATATTCAAGTTTTGTGCAAATATTTGTTGCAAAACTAAAACTTTGCTAAATATATTTTCCTTACTTTTAGATTTAAACTTTCTTTAGGCGGTATTTTATTCAATTATTCAACTTTTGGATCTTCTCTATAAATGTACAAACAATATAAAGATATAAATAACAAGGGGTTAAACTGTAGTTGTCAAATAACAGGGGCTAAACTGTAGTTGTCAAATAACAGGGGCTAAACTGTGGTTGTCAAATAACAGGGGCTAAACTGTAGTTGTCAAATAACAGGGGCTAAATTGTAGTTCTCAAATAACAGGGGCTAAACTGTAGTTTTCAAATAACAGGGGCTAAACTGTGGTTGTCAAATAACAGGGGCTAAATTGTAGTTGTCAAATAACAGGGGCTAAATTGTAGTTGTCAAATAACGTCAAAAAACGTTGTTGTTAAGTAATATCAAAGGCTAAATCGTGGTTGTTAAATAATATCAAAGGTTAGAATGGTATTGTTTAATAATATTAAATGATATGTCTGTCTTTTTCTATTTTATTGATTTTATCCATGATTAACGTCATAACGGATCAACTCATCTGGCTCAAACTTTTGTTTCTCACATGACCCCAAGCTGGTCCAATCATTTTTGAAAATGCACCAATTTAAACAAAAATATCCCCAAAATTGTTTCGTAAAGAGTACTTGAGAGAAAAAAAATAATCAGTATCGTTTGTGGTCCAGTGGAGTAAGTTAATATTATTAAAGGGACTGTAAAGGAAAAATGAAATGGGGTATTGGCTGAAAGCTAATCACTTTAGCTCTAGATCGCGACCCATGAAAGTTTCATCTGATGTTCCTGTCTCGAGAAATTGATATAAAACTGTGTTAAAATTATACGAAAGTTCATATATGTAAAATTTAGAAAATCTTAAACTTAAATCACGTGACCAGAACTATCACCAATGGCAGAGCAGTATACTGGTCACGGTGTCTCCGCCTGTATCACGTGACCACTTTACTGCACTACCATTGGTGGAATTTCTGGTCAAGTAATATTGACGTATAAATAATATTATGAATTAAATCTATAAAGAATAGAAATAACAAATATAAAATTAGAATTGGAGTAAACCTAGGTTACAATTAGCTTTCTCTGGGATATCATCGTGTTCAGATTGGTTGCATATTTGCTGAATTTGATCTTTTTAAACCCACTACTTTTATACAAAATTGTATATATCTTAATTTTCGTATAAATTTGACAAAGTTGTAAATCAGTTTCTCGAGACAGGAACATCAGATATAACTTTCATGGGTCGCGATCGAGAGCTAAAGTGATTAGCTTTTAGCAGCCTATACCCCATTTCATTTTTCCTTTACAGTCCCTTTAAACACAGGCAACAGACAAAATTTTAGAAAACGAACGAAGTTTTCGTGAACGTTGGACGAATGAAACAATAACAAAATTACCCATCTGAATTATGGATTACTAAATTTAACGAGTTTTAGGTCGTCAAAACAGTCTCATCCTGCCATTTTTTAGGGAAGTATTGGTGTACTGATGACTTTCAGTCTTGGTTATGTACTAACTTGGTGGCAGCTGGCAGCAGCACATCTTGTTCTTGTTCTTCCGTTCTTTATTGCTATGTGGTGAGTCTTTATTGCTATGTGGTGAGTCTTTATTGCTTTGTGGTAAGTCTTTATTGCTATGTGGTGAGTCTTTATTGCTATATGGTGAGTCTTTATTGCTTTGTGGTGAGTCTTTTTTTCCATGTGGTGAGTCTTTATTGCTATATGGTGAGTTTTTATTACTTTGTGGTGAGTCTTTATTGCTATGTGGTGAGTCTTTTTTTCCATGTGGCGAGTCTTTATTGCTATATGGTGAGTCTTTATTGCTTTGTGGTGAGTCTTTATTGCTATGTGGTGAGTCTTTATTGCTATGTGGTAAGTCTTTACTATTTTTACTATGTGGCGAGATTAATTGGAATTATTCTTTAAAGTTCCTTATTATAAATGAGAATGATGAAAAAGATTTCTGACAAATTTTAAAGTATATTTAGCGATTAATAAAGGAATTGAGTCTTTGTCACAAACTCATATTTTCTAATCTAAATATCTTTTCAACCCAAAGTCGCAGACCATAGATATTTCAAACTATGAATTATGTTAGATCAGCCTGAAATAGAAAAGATATACACCATCCGGTAGCAAAAAATATGAGGAGTTGAAAATTTAAGTTTATGGCGAAGACTCAATTCCTTACATTGATTGACTGATACATACATATATATATATATATATATATATATCTGTCAAGCTGTGTCCCTGAATCCCCTCGCTGGTTGATCCTAAAAGGACGGGAATGGGAGGGAGAGGTCGCCTTGAAATGGTTGAGAGGTAGAAATCCAGAGAGTTTAGACAGGTAGATAGACACTAGACACTAGACACTAGACACTATACATTAGGCACTAGACACCAGACACTAGACACTAGACACTAGACACTAGACACTAGACACTAGACACTAGACACTAGACACTAGACACTAGACACTAGACACTGGACACCAGACAATAGACACTAGACACCAGACAATAGATACTAGACGCTAAACACTAGACACTAGACACTAGACACTAAACACCAGACACTAGACAATAGACACTAGACACTGGACACTAGACACTAGACACTAGAAAAACTAGACACTAGACACTAGACACTAGACACTAGACACTAGACACTAGACACTAGACACTGGACACCAGACAATAGACGCTAGACGCTAAACACTAGACACTAGACACTAGACACTAGACACTAGACACTAGACACTAGACAATAGACACTAGACACTAGACACTAGACAACAGACAATAGAAAATTGACACTAGACAATTGACAATAGAAAATATACTATTGACTATAGACTTATGACACTAGGCAAAAGATTATTGATACTAGACAATAAACACTAGACGTTCAATAATAGGCACTGGACAATGGACAATTGACACCAGACAATAAACAATTGACACCAGACAATAAACAATTGACACCAGACAATAAACAATTGACACTAGACACAAGACCCTAGACACCGGATACTGGACACTAGACAAATATTAGACAGTAGACATACATTAGAAGCATGATACTAGACAATAGAAACTAGAAACAAAACACAAGACACTTGACACTAGAATCTATATTGTAGACATAAAACACTTTAAATAACCCACTAGAAATAGGTTATTAGACACCATCCTTCAAAAGTTTAATTTTAGACAACAGACACTTTAAAAATTAGATATTGAACTGGATTTTTTTTCAGGGAAATCGACCAAATAAAAAGAGAAATTGCAATCAGAAAACGTGAACGTATTTCAACCACGATGCTACTTGAATCAGAGGTAAAAAAGCTATCTATATATATACTTTGTTTGTCTGTATGTCTGTTTGTACAGCGTCAAAACGTCAAAACGGTTAAGCTGATTGGACCCAAATTTTGTTATTTTGTCCCCATTTTCCTTAAATTTAAAAAATCCTCGAATATTTTTAATAAAATCCGCGAATTTCTTTTTTTTACAATGTATACGAAGAGAAAATGTTCACAATTTGAATAGAAGCTGAGCGCGAAGCGCCCTAAAAACCTAATAACCATAAAAAGAAGAAAATCAACCAAAATCAACTATTTTTACCAGAATTTTGCTCGTTAATCTGTTTCTGAGGATTTAAAAATGATTTCCGCGGAAATCCCTTGATTTTAGTCAATTTAATCATATTCATATTTTTCACAGGATAGAAAAGATTACTCGCCGCATATTCTTTATATCTTAGCAACTAATATTTCTTCAAGTTCAAATAGTCAGAGTTTAAAATATATGAGATGTACAACAAATGTCAAATATTTGTTTTACTTCAGAAAAAAATTCTTGCATTTGATTTTGATCAAATCTGTAATTTAAACATTCAAAAAAATTTTAATTAAAAAAAACAGATTATATTAAGCGTGTTATATCATATTAGATTATAGTTTTTTGCAATTTCTTTGAAAAGATTAGTCTTTTTAAATTTTTTTGTTTGTCCCGAAAATCCCAATTTAGAGTTAACTATGATCCAATATTATGTGGAACTTGAACTGTAAAATAGAAACACCGGATGAATCACATGTTTTTGTTTCATTAATGCTTTATTTCCTCCAAATGATAATATTTTCATAATTCATAATTTAAAAAAAGAAAAAATTCTACCATTTTGCATATAACGAATCTGTAATGTAAAAATGTCGTTTTTAAACATTCTTAAATTTTATTAATGGTCAAAAAAATATTTTTAGATTTTGAAACCGTTCTTGGTGTGCCTGATGATGATGTTCTTCCTACAGATGTCCGGGTTCAACGTGATAGTGTACTACTGCGGGATCATCTTCAAGGATGCAGGCTCCACCATACATCATAACCTTGCTAGTATTATAGGTATATACAGATACATCATAATAGGTATATACAGATAAATATGCTTAAAAAATGAAAAAAGTTTAATCTTAATTTTTTATTAAATTCGATTTCTGAATTGTAAGAAATGAAAAAGAAGAAAGAAGGATAGCATTTTATCAGGTTGAACTTGATTAATACATTCCTGATTTAGTTGGATCAGTTCTGCTGATATCCTGTTTTGTCTCCCTGGCTGTAGTCTCTAGATTGAACCGGAAAACCCTTCTCGTCACTTCAATACTCGGGATGTCTGTTTGCCACGTGGGTCTCGGAACATACTTCCATTTTTATACAAACTCACCTAACTACGCCTCTGATGGGAAACCTTTCGACGCCCCTGGTGGAAACATGGATGCCCCTGATCTACCTCCTCTGGGTTGGTTGCCCCTGGTTTCCGTAGTAGGGTTCCTGTTCCTTGGGAATGTTGGATATGGAACACTGATCTGGGTTGTTACAGCGGAACTTCTTCCACCAAAGGTATGGATTCAATAGAAAATAGTTCTTTTCAATTTGCAAGACGACATTTTACTATAAAACTTACTTCATATTAAAAATTTTCATATTAAAGCTCTATTTATATATTGCAGTAGGTAAAATATTGATAAAAATGTTTGATGTTTGATTGTTATACTTTTCTGTAGAAACCAAATTATAATTTAAACTTAAGCTGTTTTGGACTATATTTAAAACTATCATCCTTGCTTTTTCTAATAAAGGAATTGAGTTTTTGCCACAAACTCAAATCTTCTGATCCCAATATCTTTGCAACCTGATGGTGCAAACCTTTGATATTTCAAACTTAGCTTATTTTATCTTTAAGTATTAATAGTTTGAAATATCTAAGGTCTACGACATTGGGTTTACAAAGATATAGAGATTAGAAAATCAGAGTTTGTGGCAAAAACTCAACTCCTTTTTTAATGAATAACGATTAACGATTAAAAATCTTTTCAGGTTCGATCCATCGCAAACTCCATCATTATCTGCTTTGCCTTTGTATCTGGTTTCATTATTGCTAAAACCTTTGTAGACCTGGAGCAGTCCATTGGATATTCAGGAACTTTCTGGTTTTATGCCGCGGTATGTTTTCTAGGCGCCATCTTTACTTTTATATTCGTACCGGAAACACGAGATAAATCAATCGAGGAAATTCAAAACCATTTCCGGTCTCATCGCAACAGGAAATCGACGACAGCGTTTCCATTGGAAACTGTTGCATAAAATAGTTATCACTATCATGTATTTATATTTAAGTGAATCTAGAAACCAACTGTGTACTTAAAAAATTGTATTGTAAAAAGTGCTAAATTTGTCAGTTTTTTATAACATTTTTATAACATTTTTAAGAATAAAATCCTAAAATTAAATTTAAAATCCAATTTCTTTTCTAAGCATAGATAATTAGTCAATGTCTTATATATTCTACTTTGTTCTTTCTTTGGACCATTTTCAATGAAAACTTAAGTTCATTTGAAGTACCGGGTCAACTTTTAATCAACTAGAGCAAGGAGATACAAACAGGTGGCAAAACAGGACGGTACATCATTCCCTTCTAGTGAGATTAATGTGTGTTGTAACTTGAAGGTTCCTACTTTATGTAAGTTTAACTTTTGATAAAGTTTTTGAAATTTTTAACAATAGCATAAAGGAGGATACAACCCATAACAATATTCATTATTACTATTATTAATATCATTATTATTACTTTAGACATTTTTACTATTATTTTTATTGTTATTATTATTAATCTTATTATTAATTTTCATTATTGGATTTATTATTGCTATTGAAAATACGGCCGGGATGATCGTTCTCTACCTGTGTGCTCAATTAGCTGTATAGGTTTATAGGCCAGAATCTCCATATAATAATGAAATATGCAGTAAAGGATTAGCGTACATCATCATTCTATAATGTACACTATAACCTCACTGGAAAATACATTTACTATCTCTATAAAATAAAACTCTTCGCTCAATATATATATGTTAGCTATAGCTGGCCAAACGGCTGGACAAAATTGGCTGAAATTGTTGAGGGAACCCACGGGTAACCTGTGGGTGACAGGCTAAAAAAATTAGTTTTTTTCTTGATTTTATTTTTTCCCTAAGTGATTTTTAAAATCACAGAGGCATATTATATGAGAATAATATTAATATTTGTTCGCCCATTTTCAAACTTTTAACCACAATTTTTTCGAATTTTGATCATTCATAATCCATCCCTTGGGTAACGTGAGGTCCCACACAAAGTTTGGGCCCGATCGGTTAGCCGTTTTGACGTTTATTGGATACAAACAAACAAACAGACAAGCCAAATTTATATATAGATATGAGCGAAAAGCTGTATTATTGTTATTTTTAAATCATATCATCTTATCAATATTTGTGTTATTATTATGTATTACTTATTTTCTTTGAATTAGATTTTAAATTGACATATATCTAAATCTTCACAATTATTTTTGATTAAAATAATATATTTATACATTTTACATGAGAAAACTAAACATTAAACATAATATTATTTTTACAGGATTATTTCTATTTTTGCATATGCGGGAGTATAAGTTTAGCGAAATCTACACTTAGCGCTGATGTTTATTTAAGCAAATATGGATATTTTGAATAAATGTATAAATGGTGATATATATAATTTGAATTCTTATTCATATTCTAAATATTTGAGAAAACATTGATACAATTTTCCATGGATACAGACAGATATTTCATTATTACAGCTGTGCAGTATAATATCATCGATGTACATGGCGCTACTAAAGCTGTACAGTGTACACTCTTTATGCCTTGGCACCCAAACTGTACAGTTTTGGCACATTTAAAAAAAATCACACATAAATATATAATTATTTTCTTTGCATAAGATTGTTTATAATCACATAACTGTGCAGTGTTTATAACAACATAACTGTACAGTGTTTATAATCACATAACTGTGCAGTGTTTATAATAAAATAACTGTATAGTGTTTATAATCACATAACTGTATACAGTGTTTAAAATCACATAACTGTACAGTGTTTATAATCACATAACTGTGCAGTGTTTATAATAACATAACTGTATAGTGTTTATAATCACATAACTGTATACAGTGTTTAAAATCACATAACTGTACAGTGTTTATAATCACATAACTGTACAGTGTTTATAATCACATAACTATTTAGTGATTATAATCACATAGCTGTATGCAGTGTTTATAATCACATAACTGTACAGTAAGCTGTACATGGGTTAGACCCACATTGTTCCAACCAATCTCTAGCTCCAAGCTGATGTACAATCCTAGTTCTGGTACCTCTATACCCCTCGCCCTCCCTCCTTCCCCAGAACCCTTCCCTGCCCTGCACCCCCTCCTGGATCCTCACCACGAGGTCAACCTTGCCCCCGGGGGCGAAGTCGGCCTCCTCCCACGGTTCCCCGTCCAGGAGGTCCTCCAAGTTTGTGTACCGGTCTAGTTCAAATCGGTTATAGTCTGGTATACCAGAACTGTTCGTGGAGGTGTCTTGAACATGGTTCTGGTCTACACTGAGAGGTTTACTCTTCTCAGTACTAGGCCCAATATAGGTTTCATGAGAACCCTGAAATAAATGGAGATACGTCAAACTTTGCAATTAAACAATTTTTTAACTGTCTTGATTGTATTATGTCGATTAATAGTTGAATTTAACAACATCTTTTAGATCAAAGATTTAGACTCAGAACTATTCTAATAATGTTATAATATCAAATATCGATAAAGGAAGTGAGTTTTCTAATAATGTTATAATATCAAATATCGATAAAGGAAGTGAGTTTTTGTCACAAAGTCAAATGTTCTAATCCTTATATCTTCGTCTATATATTTCAGACTTAGACTACCTTACCTAACATAATTTATAGTTTGAAATATTATAGGTCTACGATACTTTGTTGCAAAGATATAGGAATTAGAAAAATTAATTTTGTGACAGAAACTCAATTCCTTTCGTCTTGGTGTTCTTTTTTTCTTCGAATGGCTTGTAATTCAAGAACGAACCTTATTTTATTTGATCTGGTAAAAAAGGTTTATAATGATGAGAAATATTTTGCTAAAATCCCTTTTAAATCAAGAGCTAGAAAAATAGTGCTTTGTAGGTAGCTTAGAAATCCTTATTTGGTCAGTAAGGTTCAATCAAAGACAAAAGAAAGCTTGCGTAATTTTAATGATATTATACAGGAACCAAATTTTTGCCACAAAATAGGTTTTCTAATCCTTATATCTTTGCAACTCCAATCCGTAGACCTTTGACATTTCAAGGTTTGAATTCTGTTTGATTAAAGAGTCTCTTTTTGAAATAGTAAAGGTTTGCACCATAAGGCTGTAAAGATATGGAGCTGAAAAATTTGAGTTTGTGGCAAAAACTCAATTTCTTTGAATTTGTTCTTTGTGTTCCCTTTAACCTGAAATAAACTAGAGCTATTCTTTCTGGGTTCTTCTTTTATAACTCGAAACCGTTCCGCAGACGCCACTAGATCTGGAGGAACACTGCCACGGTTCCATATCTCCTCTTTCTTCCGTTCCTCTCCAGGCGGAAACCGTTCCTCCTGTGCAAATGAGGTACCTGGAGCTTCTTCAGGTTCATCCTCGTCCGACAACTCAGCTCCGAGGTTGTAGTACACCTGGCAAGGATTAGGGGATCTGATATTATTTACATCTTTGTGTTCCATCACGTCTTTGTGTTCCATCACGTCTATGTGTTCCATCCCGTCTTTGTGTTCCATCCCGTCTTTGTTGATTAGTTTTTCTTCCACTTACTCCGATATCTAAAAAAATAATGACGATATAAAAATTTACAAAAATATAATGAAACTTTAACGACGACCTGAAACTTTGGTTTTCTGCTTTAGAAATTTACATATAAACAAACTAATTTGGCTATTTAGTAAATCAACATTACCACAAAATAGAACCACTATATATAAAACTTTAAGTCTGAATTCCGTAAACTCACCACTGTAGTCTCTTTCTTTGTGGGTAAATATAGATAAAACTTAAAAAGTATTTTATGAAAGTTGCTGGGTGATCGTTGATGATCGATTTTTCGAAAATTCCAACTTTCGGGGATTTCTCCAGACGAGATGTCCGTGTAAATATTGAATGCATGTATACATCCAGATGTGGAGTGTTTATAGATTTAGTGCAATTTTTCAACTTTTTATAGTTCAAGTGCAGAAGTGTTTATAATGTTTAAGTGATGAATGAGAGTGACGCAATGTTTATAAAGTAATGCATCACTGGATAAATATGCATCATATTCATGAGAAAACAAATATCAAACATTTTGCAAAGGGGTCAAAAAGACACGTGGGGGGAGGGGGGGTAAAAATAAGGCAGGTAGTTGGAAAGGTGTACTTTAAGGGGTGTGGTTCAGGGGGGTATGACGTAAATTAAAGGGTGGCTCCAGGGGGAGGGGTAGGGAGTTCAGAATAAAATTATTTTTACCTTTTTAGAAGATTTTAATGAATTCTTTATTTTGCTCATTCTTATCTCCTTTTCATTTCAAAAGAGTCTGTGTTTTTTTCTAGAAGCAAAAAGTAAATTGATATGTTTTCTTATTTTTTATTTATTCCATCATTTGTATATTAACGTGAAAAAAATGGCTTTGAATTAATTAAATACTTTATTGTTTCAGTGTTAAATTATGATTAATCTTACCTTTAGATTTTCAATGAAAACAGTTTTTGAATTATCTTGATTTTAGCATTGGTTTGTTTCCTCGCTTTTCATTGGTTTGTTTCCTCGCTTTTCATTGGTTTGTTTCCTCGCTTTTCATTGGTTTGTTTCCTCCCTTTTCATTGGTTTGTTTCCTCCCTTTTCATTCAGATCTGAAAAATGGCATTATGTGTGAACAGGTAAAACGTTGAAAAGCAATTTCAGATAGTTTTAATAACAATTATTTTAACATCAGTTTAATACTTATAAGCAATAAATTGTCTTGATAGCTTTGTTATTTTCATAATTTAGACTTTTTATCAATTGACGGATGAAATAATAACATACAGGCATTGTACACTATACACTCAACATTTATTCCGATTTCCCCCCGAATTTAAAAGATTAAAGATGTGATTGTGAGTTCCCTCATGATATGCGTAACAATCAAACATTTTGTACAAAATTATTCGGACGACTTTGCGACCTTGTAAGTCATGGTACACCCGACAGTAAGAAAGCAATCCTTAATATTTCCCACATTGTTTCCCAATCAACTTTTCTTCGGAAAAAAGGATTTGTGATTAAACACTCAAATTAAGCTTAGTCAAATCTGCTCTCCACATATACTATCTCTCGTTTTTAAAGTACAAAAGATTAAGATAATTATGTTAATCTATTTTTACCGGAATCTCTTAAATACAAAATCCAGATTATTCAAAGTATAAAATCAAACAAAAAGTTTTTAAAACTTTTTCTCGTTAAAAACTTTTGCTTTTTGGATTCTCCAGCATATTCTTTAGTAATGTAGATTCATTTAGAGCTAATAAACCTAGCTATCTATCTATTTATCTTTCTATCTATTTTTCTATCTATCTATCTATCTATCTATCCATATATCTATCTATCTATCTATCTATCTATCTATCTATCTATCTATCTATCTATCTATCTATCTATCTAGCTATCTATCTATCTATCTATCTATCTATCTATCTATATATCTATCTATAGGTAGTGAGTTAGTGAACAACTAAGCTAAGGAGGTAGTGAGCTATCGTGAGGAACTAAGCTAGTGAGGCGGTGAGCCAGTTAGCTAGTATATACTAGTAAGTAGTAAGTTAGTGAACAGCTAAGCTAGTAAGATAGTAAACTAGTGAGGTAATGGGTTAGTGAACAACTAAGCTAGTGAGCTAGTAAACTAGTGAGGTAATGATGTAGTGAGTTAGTGAATAACTAAGCTAGTGAGCTAGTGAGCTAGTAAACTAATGAGGTAGTGAGTTAGTGAACTACTAAGCTTGTAAGCTAGTGAGCTAGTAAAAACTCCCTCTGAATCTAAGTTTTAAAAGATTGGTACAGCAAATGTGAATTTTATGACTTTTTACTTTATTTACGAGAACTGTGGGGGTATGAGGAGGGGGGGTGGTAGAAGGGGAGAATAAGGGGAAAAGAATCCGATGGGAAGAGGATGAAAATAAAGGTTAAATCTAGAATAAATCCATCAAAAATAAACATAAATAGTTCTTGTAAACTTTAATTCAACCCGGGAGTGGGGATAACTAAATCTTCAATTTTTTTTTAAAGTCTTATTTTTAATCTAACGGAGTCTAAAACTAAGAACGAAAAGTTAAAATTCGCGCATTCTTTAGTTTTAGACTCTGGAAAGTTAACTTTGTAAAGAATTTTCTGTGGGAAAATAAATAGGTTTTAGAATCTATAGTGAAGGGAAAGAGCTTTCAAGTTTTTTAATATTTCAAACTAAATATATGCATCTAACTTTTGACCACACAAAGTTTGAGCCAAAAGTTATATTAATCCCTTTACATATTCAAATTCAGCCCATTTCAAAGTTTTATGAGACGCAAAAAGATATAAAGTTTTTAGTTAAAACTTCTAAATAGTTTTCTCAACATAAAAAATGCATTATTTTTTAAACTTCCACGAAACATTAAAAAGAGATCGGATGGGTTTTAACGATCATATTTCCATCCAACCTAGTCATCGATCTTTTTCCATTATTTTATCAATCATATATTTTACGTTTGATCGATTATGTATCAATCAATATCCATTATTTTTCAATCATTTATGCATTAAAAGATTGATCATACATCCTTCGATTGATTGATCATACATCCATTTATTGATCATGCATTCATCAAATGATCATGCGTCTGTCGAATGATTATTTGTCCATCAATTGATCAGAAGTCTATCAATTGATGATCTGTCCATCGATTTTTTAACTATGTAATCATTAATCGATCGGTCCATGAAATGAGTAAATATTGAATCCAATAAACATTAGATCATATATCCTTAAATCGATTGACCTATTATATATCCTTGATCAAATATCCATTGATCAGTCAATTTTGTTTCCATAAAATGACCTTCATAAATCTTTCAATTGATCGATTTTTAAGATGATTTAAATTGGTTAATCAATGATCATAAATCACAAAGGAATAGATTTCAAATAAATCTGAAAAAATTTTGTCTTATTTCTGAATTTTTATAATTTGATGCAGCAAAACAAAAATTCTAAATAATTTTGCCACAATTTTTAACAGAAAGGAGGGAATTTCTACGGAAAATGAAAAGATTTTATGATGATTTAGTTCTAGATTTAAATGTGGGTTTATAGTTTAAACTTTCGAATAAAACCGGAAACAAAAGTTTTGAATACACATTGTTGGTGAAACATATCATTTCAATCAAATACATTTCCAAATAAAGGATATTTAGCAATATTTTACTAAATATCTCTGAGAAAAAACACCCGGATTTTATCATGAAATGAGAAACACATGTTTTGTTCTCCAAATGATAATCGTTTCATGTCAACACTGGTTAAAATATTGTGCTTTCTTCTGACAAAATCTTACGAAATGTGAAAAGTAAATAAAAAAATCTAAAAAGCAGTTGGATTACAGGGTGGGTAAGTAAAAAAAATAGAATAGAGGGTCGGGACATAAGATGGAGGAAGAAAGATGGAGGAACAGAAAACAAGATGGAGGAACAAATGACAAGATTGAGGAACAGAAAACAAGATGGAGGAACAGAAAACAATATAGAGAAATAGAAATCTAGATGGAGGAAAAGAAAACATGAGATGGTGAACTGAACAGAAAACAATATGGAGGAACAGAAAACAAATTGGAGAAGTGGAAAACAAGACAATGGATTGGAAAACAAGATGGCCGGAGGAACAGAAAACAAGATAAGTGATAAGAAAACAAGGTGAGGAACAGAAAACATTGTGGAGGAACAGAAAACAAGATTGAGGAACAGAAAACAAGGTGGAGGAACAGAAAAAAAGATGGAGGAACAGAAAACAAGGTGGAGGAACAGAAATCAAGGTGGAGGAACAGAAATCAAGGTGGAGGAACAGAAAACAAGATGGTGGAACAAAAGACAAAATGGAGGAACAAACAAGATGGAGGAACAGAAAACAAGATAGGAGAAGATGATACACAAGATATGCAATAAATTATGCATAAATGCATAAGGCAACATTTGTGAGATAAGCCTAAATCCAAACTTAAAAGGAATGAAAATTAATGACTTAATTTACTTTAATGCATGCATTGTTTAGACTTAAATTGTCAGTATACAAAAACACGAATTTAAATAAACATTTATATTAGAAAACTCATTCGTTAGAATACACAAGAATTCCTTATCTAAGTTTGTCCCAAAAAAATATTTTTGTAAATTAGTATTAGCAACAAAAGGTCCTGCAAGGTATAGTGCTTCAAATGTCATGTCTGTACGGTGCAGTTTGAATTATTGAGAGTTTATAAATGGTTCTAATAAAATTAAAACAAATTTCTTTTAATTCTCTCCATCTATTTAAAACATGATTTCAATGTGGCATTTCCTGCAAATGTCAGTTAATACGCAAAACGTCTAAACAAATTAAAGAAAGGACAGGAAGTTTGCCTGTTGTTGCCTTTTTGCAGCCCAACCTAGAAATTGCAACTTTGAACATTTAAAACCTTTCAAGAGTTTTAAATGTTACTTTGTATAGAAAAAATATAAAAATTATTAGCCACCAGAGATATCATTAGATTTTGCTTAACTAGTTTTAAAGTAATGTTAAATGCATGATTTGGAAGTTCTTGATTTAAAAAAATTAGAATTTAAAACTTTGTTTTAGGATTTACTCACATAATAATTTATACTCGACTGCACAATAAAGATATTTTATACGTTTTATTTTATTATTAAAACTTTTTAAAAGATTTTTTGGTGGATTTTTAAAATAGGATAAGCATAATCTTAACTGAGCTTTCATTTAAAGAGGGACATCACCGATTCACAAGAGTACCCTTTAATCCTGATCATCGAGGACAGAGATCTCAGTGTAGTTATCTCTTAAATGCTGTGTAAAAACCCAGAAAATGCTGGAAAATCTAGAACGCGGTTTTTAAAAATTTAAATGTGAAAATTTATATTCTATCACTTCTAGAAACTAGATGCATGATATGTCCGACATCAAGGTTTCTGCAGATGGATATTTCCGTCATCAAGGTTTCTGCAGATGGATATGTCCGTCATCAAGGTTTCTGCAGATGGATATGTCCGTCATCAAGGTTTCTGCAGATGGATATGTCCGTCA